TCCTGCCGCTAATGAGAACATCAAAATGCTCCTTGCACTCAGGAGCTTGCAATATGAAGTAAGAAATGTCCTCGTAAGCAGTAGGGCAAAAGCCCCAGACTATGGATGGCAGAGTAGAAAGGAGAGCATGGGTCCCTTCCTGTGTCAAATTGAGGCTGCAGCAGCCTGATCTGTCTCCCTCTGGGATTCTCATAGGACGGAAAAACAAATTCCTATTGGGCTAAACCACTGTCACTGAGTATGTTACGTGCAGCCCAAAGCAATCCTAACTGATCTGGGATATATCTGCAGACCGGTGACCAAAGAGATGTCAGGAATATCCACATCTATTTATTCATTTATTCAACAAATATTTATTGAATGCCTACTATGTACGTTGGTCTAGACAACAGTCAGCACAGATATTGGTCACTAAGGACCCACACAAGTGCGCTGCTGTGAGGGTAAATAAATAAGTAATAGAAGATGATAAGTGTTATGGAGAAAAAATAAAGCAGTTATTTTCAGGATGTCCTCTAAGGACTAGGACACACACACGCACATGCATGACAAAGCACACACACAGGGCCTTGATGAAGCCCCTGCCAGTTTGCTGTAACTTCAAGGAGAAAAGGATGTGATTCAGTCTGAGAAACCCCGATTTAACTGGGATTAACCTCAATTGGCCAAGATTCTTTTTATGTTAAAACTGATCTTATACAGTGATGCAACTCAGTGCCTGTCACCTTGACCTTCACACAAGGGAAGTGGAGCACCTGCAGCTGCTCTGTGGCACCCGGCCACCATCCTCTCCCCGCTGCCGCGCTCACCTTCAGTGGGCAGTTGACCTCCTCGGCCGCACACTCCAGCCTCCTCTTGACCATCTCCATGCTACGGTTCTCGGTCAGAAGCCTCTCCAGCTCGTAGCTCAGCTCCGACTTCCAGAAGCCGATGTCCGACAGCCTCTGGCCCAGGTTCCGGGAGGTCCCCTCCTGCATCTGGCGCGTCAGCTGGTCCTTGTCCTGCATGAGCCGCATGGAATCGCCCGTCAGCCTGCCAGCCCACAGCCGCGATGCCTCAGCCCCACGCATCTGCAGCTGGTTGGACTTGTCCCAGTCACGGGGGCTGTAGCGACAGAAGAGCGCTGAGCGGAGCGCGGGCAGGATGGTGGGTGGCCTCAGGGCGCCACGCATCTGCAGCTGGTTGGACTTGTCCCAGTCACGGGGGCTGTAGCGACAGAAGAGCGCAGAGCGGAGCGCGGGCAGGATGGTGGGTGGCCTCAGGGCACTGGGGCACTCATCAGAGCAGGTCTGGGCACTGGAGATCTTGTAGAAGAGGCTGGGTCTCCATGAGTTGAGATAGCGGTACCCGGGCAGGTAATAGGGCTGGTAGCATTCCTGGATCACAGGGGTCTGCACAGCAGGAGGCAGCGCGGTCACGCCACAGGCTTTCTTGGAACCACAGTAACCGGCAGTCTGAGTGGCCCCAAGAAACTCCATTTTCTCCCATCAGCCCCACTTGGGCAAGATTCTGCCCAGGGGATCAAAGGCATCACCAGGAAAGGGCTTCCCTTAGGGACAGAGAACCTCTGTGACTCAGCACTGGTGTCATAAAGCCTGCTGGAGGGGGCTTTTACAGGGGTCCTTCTTGCTCACTTTCAGACCAGCTGGGGACATATTGCACACCCTCCAAAAAAAGACAAAACCCAAATCAACAAAGTAAATATCAGTACACCGTCCACTGATCTGAGATGCACAAAACAACACTTTATCTATCTTTCTATAACAAACAAATCTGTCTTACCAGACCTCACTCGGCACAGTGGGAGGAAATTTAATGTGGTCCACCCAGTAAATTCGATCAGCTCAGGGCCAGTTTGGTCAAGGTTCATTATTTTCTTTCTTTCTTTGTCCCCAAGATGGCATCAAAATGGTCCATCTGTACCGTAGAATGATACCGGCAATGCTCGAAACAACGTAAATGACTCTCAGATGTTCAGAGTTAAGTGGAAGCAGCTAGGCTCAAAAGATGACATCCTGTATGAGTCCATCCATATGACATCCTGGAAAAGCCAGGTCCATATGGACAGAAGACAGAGCAGTGGTTTCCCGGGGCTGGAGGAGGAGAACTGACTACAAAGGGGCACAAGAGAATGGGGATGGGGTGGAGGTGATAGTGCTGTTCGGTATCTTGATGGTGGTGGAGGCTACGTGAGTATACGTATTTGTCAAAACCCACAGAACTTTCCACTAAAAAGAGTGAATTCTCCTGTACATAAATTATACTTCAATACACCTGACTTTAACACATGGGGCAGGGATCTCACGCCCTGTGAGACACAGACCACGTGTGTTTTGCTCAGAATTAAATCTCCAGCATCCAGCACACTATGAATGAATGAACGGATATCTAAAATGAGAGCTGTACTGTTCCAGAAAAATTACTTAATTTTATATTCTATAACAATGTTTTTATCCCACTGAGAAACCTCCTCCCTCTTTGGCTAGTGGGAGTAGCAACAAAATGTCGAGGTGCAGGACAAGAGGAGCCTGATTTGTGGGGCTTTTCTCTTCTTTTGCAACAGGAGAGAAGAATCTTACCCTCAAAGGGTCCTAGTTAGTAGAGTATCATGTTTAACGGCAATTTTTCCCCAATTGCCTAAAACCAGGAGTAGGTCAGAGAGGATTAAGGCAGAGAGAGACAGTGAAATAACATTTATTAAGCACCATCTGTGTGCTGGTGCTTTACACATTCTAATTTATTTCATTTTCATAGCAAACCTATAAGAAAGGCACTCCCATTGTACAGGGTGGTAAGAAAGCAGGTGGGCTCTGGACCCCCTGAGTGCCTGCTCAGGATTCCTGCATGTAGAGAACATCCAACAAATGGACCTAAAGGATTTAGTGTCTTTTCAAAGCACCAAATGTATATGGAGAAATAACAACAACGTAAGCAACATCAAAAGGCATAAAGTAAAATTTAGATTTTTTGCATCATCCTTGGCTATCTCAGTCTTCCCACATATAACTACTGTTAACAGATTTTGTATTTTTCCAGAGATATTCTATGCATATACAAAGATATCAAATCTATATATTTCTACATAAATGGTAAATATCATACACACCATTTTCCACATAAGATAGCTCTAAAAGATCATTTGTTTTTAGTACATAAACATCTATTTCTTCCTTTTAGTAGCTGCATGACTCTCCATTGTCTGTCTGACCATTCCCTATGGCTGGTCATCTGAGTTGTGCGTGTCCTGCCTTTTGCTGTTACAAGCATTGCTGTGATAAATTCCACATCCACTTTCTTTAGACTGAAATTGATGTATGTCCACTCAGGGCCTCGAGGCACATCCACTTGAGGTCCTGAGCTATGCCCACTTGAGGACCTAAACCATGTCCACTTGAGGCCCTGGGCTATGTACACTCTATGCACTCGAGGTCTTGAGCTGTGTCCACCTGAGGCCCTGGGCCATGTTAACTCCGGCCCTGGACTGTATCCACTCCGGGTGCTGAGCTGTGTCCACTTGTGGCCCTGAGCCACATCCACCCACATCCCTGCTATATGTCCACTCGTGGCCCTGCTCCATGTTCTCGTAATAACTTCGTATAGCATACATTATACGAAGTTATACGACTCAGCCAGTGAGCGGGAACCGGTCTGTATGTGGGATCCGAACCCTCGGGCGGGAGCGCTAACGCGCTCTCCCAAGCGGCGCACTTATCCAGTGCGCCACCGGGCCGGCCCAGATGTGCAATTTTCATACAGCAAAATTCACCTTCTTCAGCACAGTCACATGAGTCCTGAGTCATACAGGCATGCCATCACCACAGCAAGATTAGGACATTTCCACCACCCCAGAAAGTCCCCTAGGCCCTTCCCTACCACCAATGCAGTCCCCTGTCCCCACAAATGCCACATAAATGGAATCATAGTACAGTGTCCTTTGAGCCCAGCCTCTCTCTCAGCATAATGTTCAATGCAATAAAAGTCCTTCCACATGCACTACCAGTCAAGTGTGAACGCAATCTCTAGAAGTTGCAGGATGGAAGAGCTTGTGTATTTTTTATTTAGATACATATTGTCTTGAAGGTTTTCCCCTCCTGTGGACCTCTGGTTATGTATTTTATTACTATGCACTTTTTATGTGCATATATACTGTTCCAAAAGTTTTCCCCATCCTGGCCTGTGGGTCTCTGGGGGGAGCAGCCAGGGTTTTCCATTGGCTCCTGATTCAGACACCAACAGATCCCACTCAAGTGTGGCAGGTCCTGCCTGTTAATTTGGCCAGGAGCCCCAGTGCTGTAGGTGTGAGGGAGCTCAGGTATGAACATCAAGGCCAGAAAGGGGCTCCCCAAGACCCCCCACCCACCCAGTGCCAGTTACAAGGCTGATGTTAAGGGGGGAGGGGAGGTCAGGCTTAGAAAAGCCCAAAAGGAGCCAAAAAATGTCCCTTGATGACTTCTAGGGTGAACAGCTCTCTGCAGGCTGGAAGCATCTGGGGCCTCACTCACCTGGGCTCCAGGTCACCTGTTTGAATGATTTGGGAACTGAAAGTCCACCATGCACAAAGTGAAACTAAGCCATCAGAGAAACTAGCCCATCAGTCTATTGGTTATCTGGGGCTCTGGCTTGATTTTCCTAAGCAAGGTGGGGCTCCTTGAAGGTAAGATCTCAAAGTCCTGATATGTGACTTTGCATATGTAATATCTATATTAACAAAATCTTATACTCACATACACATGTGTATGCATGTATAACACGTGTACATTTTTTCTGCTGTAAAGAAAGACAAGAATCTATGTCGGGTCAAACAATGAAACAGAGTGTAACCTGCCAGGTGTCATGTTTTTGTTTGGAAAGTGGGAATTTTAGTTCTTACAGGAAGTCTTTTACTGAACTCAAACAATATTTCGAAAATTGAAATGCATTCTCTGTTTTATTTATTAATCATACAGAACTAAAAAATTAACTCGAAACATAATTATTACTGAAAATATTGTTGTGTAGAGGAGGAGGGTGTTAAAAAAAATGGCCTACTTCGGATGTCAAAGACACCAGGGCTCCCAGCCAAGTTAACAGGCAGGACCTGCTACACTTGCATGGGATCCATTGGTGTCTGAATCAGGAGCCAACAGAAAATCCTGGCTGCTCCCCCCAGAGACCCACGGGATGGGACGGGGAAGACCTTTGGAATAGTATATATGCACATAAAAAGTGCATAGTCATAAAGAACAGAACCAGAGGTCCACAGAAGGGGAAAACCTTCAAGACGATATATATCCAAATTAAAAATGCACATGCTTTTCCATCCTGCAACTTCCTGGGGCATAAATAGCGTGGAAGGACCCACGATGGGATGAGCTAGTTGCCTTTAGGGAGAGGAACCAGGGCAGAGTGGGAAGGAGACTTTCCGGGTGGGCCATCTTGCATTTATTTTTGAACCATAACAGTGGATTACTGTATTAGTCCGTTTCTGTTGCATATAACAAAATACCTGGAACTGCATAATTTGTAAGAAAATGAAATTTATGGCTTACAGTTTCAGAGGCTGGGAAGTCCAAAGTCCAGAGAACACATCTGGTGAGGGTCTTGGTGGTGGTGACAGTGACCCAGGGGTCTCACATGGCAGACAATGGTGGAGCAGAGAGAGCGCAAACTCTCATGTGCTCTTCTTTTAAAGCCCTCAGAACCATGCCCATGACCACCATTTTTAATCCATTCATTATGACATGGTCCAATAATCTAATCACCTCTTCAAGGTCCCACCTTTCAATTACTATAGTAGGATTTCCCACCCTCAACAGTTACAGTGGGGATTAAGCTTCTAATATTCGAAATTTGGGGGACACAATTCAATCAATCCACAGCAATTACTAATTCCAAACATTGATCAGTGTGAAAGTATTGTCGAATGTCTGCAGGGAAGAAGTGGAAAATCGCTGGGTATTTGTATGGTCTCCTTGACATATTCCCCGAGCCCTCCCTGCAGGTTAGGGGACATGACAACAGCATGCATGGGTGTGAGCACGGATGTGTGTAAGAGAGCATGAGTGTGTGAGAGAGAAAACGAGTGAATATGTGGCTTTGTGAGGGAATGCAAGCGTGAGTGAGGACATGCGTGTGCTTGAGCGTGTAAGTGAATACGATGGTGTGCGCATATGCACCTGCATTTGTGGTTGAGGGTGTGGGTGTGAGAGAGTAGTATGAGTTAGTACGTTTCTGTCACTTATAACCGAATACCTGAAGCTGGGTAATTTGTCAGGAAAAGAGGTTTATTTCTCACAGTTTCAGAGGCTGGGAAGTCTGCGGTCCAGGGAGCGCAGCTGGTGGGGACCTTCTTCTTGGTGGTGGCTTTCTACAGTGATGCAGGGTGTCACCTGGCAAGAATGGCACGAGCAAGAGCTCTCCCGTGTGTTCTCCTTATGAAGCCACCAGTCCACACCCGTGGTGACTCACCACCATCAACCCCGTTACCCAGGAATGGATCAATCCATTCAGGAGGGCACAGGCCTCAGGATCCAATCACCTGTCAAAGGCCCCACCTTTCAAATC